TTGTGAGTAAATAAATATTAGATCCAGGCCTGTAGTTGCATGATTTTTATAAAGAAAAGATTCCATTTTTAATGTTCTTTCCTTGTAATATCTTAATGTGAAGAAAGGTATTAAAACTTTACATTCAAAAAGGACTCAAAAAGTCCTAGATGCATACAGAACAAAAAGATGTCAACAGAACAGGATTTATGGGTTTAAAACCTTGAAAATGCAGATTATTTGATCTCTTTCTGTAGGGTAAGTCATGTATCTTAAAAGGGTATCAGTTCTTACTCTAAAACACTGTGGAGTATTAGTGTGCAGGCAGACTTTTGACAGGCGAACCTCTCCTCATTCCAGGAAAGCCATCTGTATTTACAGCCAACGTGTACATATTATACAAATAAGCATTCATAAATACACCATCAGGGTTAAACTCTCTCTTGCATATCTTCAGAAAAGAAAACCTGTATCTTTATAAACTTCAGAGCTGATCTACTAAAAAATTAAAACTGCTAATTTTACTCAAGGTAAGCTATCTATTTAAAAATAATCAATAAAAATGTGCTACCTTTCTAGAAATCCTAAAGACACAAAACATGTACTTTACTCACCAAAAATAATCCTACAAAAGCACAGTATTTAAACCAGTCTTTGTTTTAGTTCCTCTGAATGGCATATCCAGAAAGCTAGCACCATAAGTTGGCACAGGTTCTATGTGCATACTAGAACACACTATTGCTTATTATATTTGTTGCCTCAATAGCAATCAGATCAAAACTCACATAACCAAACAAAGCATGCCAAACTGGGAAGCCAGACTTTCCTTACATATCCACATATAAATCATCATAACCTTGTTTCAGAAAAACATAATAGGATTTGAATGAGCCAGACTACTCCTACAGGGCTGGTTTTTAATGGAACAACTCTGCATACCCAGATTTTTTTCTGATTTATTTCACCCATTTCCGTTGATTACAGATGTTTCATTCAAAGCTGAAATGGATCCCCTTCACATTACAGTTTAAAACAAATAGAAAGTAAGTATGCTGCTTAATGAAGATAGAACAAGTGTTTTATTAATGAATTTTACTAGGAAGCTTTAAACAAACTCCATCTTTTTTTTTTTTACTGTGCTGATGTAGTACAATGACACAGATAACCTACAAAGTCAGATTTATATGCTCTAGTGATGGCTGATTTGGTATTAGCAGCTGATGATCCCATGGCTGTAAGACAGCATTGAATCAGTAAGCAATTCTGCAGGGAATGAATTAACTGTAGTCAGAGTTTACATTTTGCTGCCAATGCCTCAAAACTCACTATTTCTTGTACTCTTCACATGTCGTAGAAAGAAAAATTATAAGTCTTCTGGACTGCAATGACTTCAGTACACTAGCAGGAATTAGTTTTGTATCCACCTTTTAATAAAATTCTGTATTCTACAACTTCAGCTAAGATGATCATGAGGAAACAAAACAAGCTAGAACCCAGCCCGGGCAAGTCAGAAATTTGTGAGCGAAATGTTTCAAACATTCCACCCTAACTACTGAGCAATAACTAGAGGTGGTGAATACAGCAATATATTTTTAAGTCTTAGCAAGTTCAATCATTTTAGCAGAATCCTTCTATCTTAACTGTTGTTAACAGATCGAATACTTCTGCAAAATTTCAATCCTGTTTGACGAGACAGCACAGAGCCACAAACTCGATGTCCCACTTTATTAATAGTCACTATGACAATCTACAAGATTGCTTTTTCCCCCATGTATTCCCCCCCGCCCGGTCTTTAAAGCAATACTTAAGTTGCACAGTCAAGCATTCAAACCAGGAAATGGCTGAATGACCATAGTCCACAGAAGCTTTTCAGCCTCTACGCACAGATCTTCAGAGAGAGTCTTTAACCACAGCATAACACTTGCTTCCACCAAGGTCCTGACCATTCAAGATACAGTATGAGTAAAGTAGGGTGTGAAACTAATGAAGCCATTTTTTTTCCTAAGTAGAACGCAATGTAAGCGCAGACCTTTCATAGATGTTTGCTAACTGTAATGTTCCTCATTTTCTAGGTGACTGGTCTTAGAAACACAGGCAAAAATACAAACACACAAAAAAGCTAGGCCCTCATAGCCACTCCTGACGGGGGCAAGAAGCATATTCTGGAGTATTCAAGTACTCAAAATGCAACATTATTTGGAATAAGTCACATTAGACATCTCACGTTGGTTAAGGTAAATCAATATTCTTTATGTAACCTGGGCTTTAACTCCTTAGCTGTAAATAAGGTATAAAAATACCTCTAAAGCATGCTGTGAAGACGCCACAGTTACAGCCCTGAACATCACAGAAAACCCCACAACTCTGTTGGAGAAAGCAGTTTAAGAAGTTGGCACCAAAGAAAGTATACGACTACATATCCACCCGAATTTTTAACCGTATCTCATTTAATAAGCCCCATCAGGCCCAGACAAGACATGAGACAGAAGATATTCAGAAAAATACAGACTCGTGGCATAAGACACTCCAGCAGTACGTACACACACGGAACTAAATTAAGGACCTAATAGACAACCCTAAATCTAGCACACATCAGTCTGAAATCTTGGTTGCTACAATCTTTACAGTTAAATATGTATATATATTATATATATAAAAATATATAAATTTATTCTAATATGAGCTTGTTACAAATAAAATTAAAGCAATACAAGAAAATTAGCCACCAAATCAATTTTCAAAATAAGTCATTAACTGCTTGATCTGCAAAGATCCCGTCTCTCTTTAGTCAAACAAAAGTAATTTTGTTTTTGATACAATCTCTAGAGCAGCACTTTGCATATAACTTACGTATTATACACTTCTAGTAATCAAATGCTTCACAGATACTTTGAGCTCTCACATCCCTTCCCTTTTACAGACATTTTTGTAAACCATGTGCAATGATTCAAAAAAAGGCCACATTTTAAAACACGAACACTTAGACCTCCAGCATTTACTTCGCCTTGTACTAGCATTCAGAAGAATAACAAAACTGCCTTTTTTAAACCAAGATTGGGGAGAGCGCTTACTTAAAGCATCATTCAGGGATTTCAGCAAAAAATATTTTGAGTCAGTCACAGATGAGTATCTAGTATCTTTCATTACTTTGAAGTAAACAGGCAAAATAGCTGTGATTTGCAAAAACACACTGGTTTGTGGATGCAGAGACAACTTTTTCAAATTTGGATTTCTTTGAAGTGATTATGAAGCCAAATTAGCTTTCTTTCCTCTAGTATGTGATCTTTTTGTTTTGTGCCTCTCTATCTATGTGCCTATGAGATTACAGGGTATGCTGGTTTATTTTGCTTCTCTTTTCAGGTACTTGCAGTTTGATGCTTGTTCTGGTTCCCATTGGTTTAGCTGTATAACAATTAAAAGCCAGCTAATACTCAAACTGCCCTAAACGAAGAGACCATCAACGCCATCATCTCCTGTCCAAGATCTCAAAGGAGGACACATCTACAAGTGAATCCTACCTCAATACTACTTTGTTTCAAAGAACTTCACCACATAATTAGAAGCGCTGTATCATGCATACTTATGTTCTGTACTCTATTGTAACAACTTCTATCTATATAAATATTTGTGAACTCTTATTTATAATCTATTTCTTACACAATACAATGACCTCCTCCACTAGATGGCCCTGACACTCCCTATGTATATCAAAGCTCTTTGAACACTTACACATGTAAGACAATTAAACAAAAGTTTGGGGTTTTTTGCTGTGTTTAAACAGCTGCCAGTTCCTAAGAAAAGCCTCTGATATTGGCATACTTGCATACTCAGGAAACAGACAAAAATTAAAAGATTATTTTGAGATAAATTGATATATATGCACACAACTATCTCCATACAGTCAGCAAAACTGTTTTGAGAGTCCAAAATAAAAAAATTTTAGCAGAATGCATGCCCTTCATATCCCAGATATGAATACAGAGTGAATGTTTTAAAAATTCAAGTTGCTCGTTTTCTTGTATAATAAAAAAGCTGTGCAAGCAAAACAGAATTGATGTCTAGATGGCACAAAGTACTGCTGTTCAAGGATATGGCCATATTAAAACATGTCTTTCACCTGAGATAGCCGTGGATACAGCCTCTGATACCCACAGTAGTCAAATCTCTCTTTATGAAGACACACTATGCCATTAGACTTCGCCAGACATGCATACGTTACAGCTGATGAAAGGTCTTCCAGAATTCATTACCTAAGTGTATTGCAAATGGTGTGCAAAGATATCTAGCAGCCCAATCTAAACATCTTTCAGGTAAAATAAATGACTGTGTTTCTCTTAAACTAACATAGTTGAATACATTTAGCTGATGACATCCATTTTTTGGAATGAGACTAAAATGATCAAATGTACTAATAAATACAGTAAATCAGTATCACAACTCTTCCGGTAGTCATGTGTGTCTCGCTGATCACTTAAATTGCTAGCTTTTTGGGTTTGGTTTTTGAGGGGTTTGGTGGGGTCTTTTCCCCAGTCTGCAAAACTGGTGGAAAGTTCAAGTTTCATGTCTGAGCTGCAGCTACTTTATGAGCAGGTATCTTCATCTTTCTCCTCCACATTCTGACTTCATTTATCATTCTACCCTTTACCCACAAAAATGTTTCCTACTGCAAAGTCTCCAGGCAATTGATTATATTTTACTTCACCTACAATATCTACACATTGTATAAACTGAATGATCTGCATACACAATTTAAAAATAACATATACTCTTTAAATAAGGAAATTTTGCAAATCCTTTTGAGGAACTAGTCTATCAGTGCAAGGCTAGTGAGGAATTAAAACAAGTATTTCTATTTAAGAGGTTTACACACTAGTGTTTCAGTGATCCTAAATAAAACCTGGAGATAATAAATGTTAAATAACACATGAGAAGTACTATTGCAAGTTCAATGCTTTTCTCTTTCTCCTTTGATATTTAGCACCTCTTCACTATTTTGATTTGTTTAAAATAAAAGTAAACACTTTCCCAGTTATCTGTTCTTTTAATGTTTCTTCTTTGGTAATCCATGTTTATCTTCATCTGTTATATTCAAAATGTTAGTGAAGATCTTTCAGTACCGATTCTAAAATTGGACTGAATATTTAGCATTGAACAAACCTAAAAAAGAATACATGAAAGTGTTTCAAAGCATCTATTTTCCAAGAAGAATGTTCAAGAAAGCTCCCAAATCCTCCATTTCTCTTCTTCTGGTCCCACTTGTAATTCATTGTCAAATAACATTTTCAGTTTTCATTTAAAGAATATTTTTCTTTTATTTTGCATTTGCTATTGGTTGGGGAATTTTCAACTGTCAGGTATTTTTACTTAATTTCAAGTATTTTCACTGTGATTGCAAAAGGATAACAATAATGGCTCTGCTCAAATACTGTGGTTTTGAGCAGGTTTACAGACTAAATATTTTCAGAAATTAATACCATTTTGTGCTAAAATAACAACTTAATCCTACAAACCTGTTTAAATTTTCCTCTGATTTTTTCCAGATCTTCTTGCAGCTTATCATAAGTGGGGTCTCCATACGGGAATTTCTGAATCATCCCTATTAATGATTCCAGAGCCCTTATCTTTTTGCTACAAAAAAAAAAAAAAAAAAATCAAAACAGAAAAAAAGATGAGCCTACTACAGAGGCTTTTTTCAATCTGTCAATATGAAAATTTATATATAATAATTCAGAGCATAGAACCCAGCCCTCCATCCTTCTTTTTCATTTAACCCCCACTTAGCTCACGGAGAGTGTGTATTTGATACATATTTAAGACATAATCAGAAATTAAGCTGTAGCACAACTGACAAAGTTAAGGCTTCCCTTTTAGCTTATCTGCCACAAGTTGAGAAATATTCAAGAATCTTCAGAAATATTGATTAGATGACTGAGTGAAATAAAGAAATGCAGTAAAAAAGCTCACACATATCAAAATGGCTGATAGTATAGAGGCAATTCTGCCAGAGAAATTCACCAAAGCTGGACAGAAAAAAATTATGGGGAAAAGAATCAAAGTCATAGAAAATTGGAAGGGACAGTTGGAGGCCATCTAGTCCACCTTCTGTGGAAGCTGGACGAACTTCAAAGCTAGATAAGGTTGCTCAGGGACATCTCCAACCAGATTTGGAAAATCTACAAAGATGGAGCTTCTAGAATCTCTCTGGACAACTTGTCCCAGCGCTTTAACTGCCTGCACTGGAAAGGACCTTCTCCTCATGCTCCATTAGAACTTAACCTGCTTCCCATTGTGAAAGTTGCCTATTGTCCTTTCACTGTACCCTTCTGCAAGGAACATATCTCCACCTTATCTAGAACTTCTCCTTATGTGTAACAACTAAGTATCTCCCTTGTCTTCTCATCTCCAGGCTAAAGAAACCAAGTTCCCTTATCCTCTTTCCAATATCACATGGTCCAGCACATGATACCACCCTAGTGGCCCTCTGCTCACCTTTCTTCTGCTTTTCAGTATTTCTTTTGTATTGGGAAAGAGGCAAAACTGGACACCATAATTTGAAACTGTAATAAATGAACAGTAATTTTTAAAAATTTTTTAAACCAACCTGTTCTTTTCATCTGTGCATTTCTGGAGCAGACACTGCCACGTCAGTGCAAACCCAAGGTAGCAGCCAATCTGTGAATTTATGAGAATGTCATGAGGAAAAAAAACACAAAACGTAGTATATATGGTCAAACAAAAATAAAGCACTACAATGTATCCCTTTCTTCAGGAAAGAAATCACTGGATATACAAATATGTTTCTATGATGGAAAGTTCAGTAAACTAGGGTAGGATAAATGAGGGCTATCTGTGTGACACAGTACAAGAGTCAAAAAACTTCTTGTAAGAATCTGTTTGGCATCAGAGGACAAAATATTTAAAATACAGCATAAATAGCAATTCTGCAAAATACCAGCCATATTTTATATGCTTTGAACCCTCAAATTTATTGAAGTGTGATAGTAAGGAGATAGTTAGAAAACAACTTATTTAAGATGTTTTGTCAAGTATTCATTTTTGTAGCACCGTCAGTTTAAGCAGCCCACATACAGCCCTAGAAAAAGGTGTACCATCTGGACCAATGGAGTTACCAAGTCAACCAAAGAGAAAACCACACTTTCAGAGTTAATCCAGAATTTTACCAGCCTAACTCAAGAGAGCAGCATGGAATCAGAAAGAAGCAAGAAGAGCTGACTAAGCTAGCTTTGCTGCCAGAACTTTACAACTTTGGACACCAAATGAAATAGGAATATAGATAAGTTCTTCAATGCACCAACTGGGTAAGTCAGCTGAAGTCCTTTTTCCAGGACTGACAGGTCTAAGATTACCCAGGTAACTCCTCCTCTCATTTAACATGACTCGCTGTCTACAAACCTACTGTGCCCTGGAGTTTCCCCAATATAAGAAGAGCAGAGCACTTCTCTATTCTGGTCTGTCTAGGACCACTTTGTATAAAAACTATCCATCTTTGGAGGCTGCTGTTTAACATTCTCATCTTGGAACTACATAGTTGTAGCATAAGTAGGAAAATATTTCATCACTTTACATCTCCATACCACACCCAAATGCAAACCAAAATCTTACGATGACCATCCTTTCAGAATTTGACAGTTTACCTTTTTCGCTTCAAAATGGATTAATGCCAGTGCTACTGTTCTTTCTGCAGGTAATTAACTTTCTGAAAATATCAAAAGGGCAAACCGACAAGTTACCCAAAAGTCCTCAATAGATTGCATAAATTTAGATTTGTGGTGCTCTACTTGAAATAAGACCTGCCATGAATCCTGTAGCACAGCTTCCCACCAAAGCTGAAAAAATCCATTTCAGGTCCAAAAATACTGTAACTATATTGTACAGCACTGAACACACTTCATGTTATGATAAACTTGAGCTGAACATATGAGACAAGTCAAGGTGCCTCACCACCACTCTCTGGTCCTTTTATTTCTAGGAGGACTTACTGGTTCAGGAAT